TTTAGGAAGTAGGTTAAAAGTTAATTTTTAAATTTTTTAAAACTTTTTTTTTTTTGAAAAACTATACAAAAAAGTAGAGAAGTAATGTAACCAAAAAAAGCCAAATATCCGACTTTTGGCTAAATTGCCAAACAGAACACAAAACAGCAAGAGGGACAATCTTTCAGATGTGTAATACTGATTTCTTGAACTTAATACCAGCTCAGGGCCGACTCTAAGGTGAGGCGACCAAGATGGTCACCTCATGCTCCTAATTTTGAACAAAATTTAGGGCTTCAAAACTAGGAATGTGCATCATGTTGTGTTGTTTTATAATTACTTCAATATTAGCTCAACCCATTTATTTTCATGTTGTTGTATGGTGTTATTTTCATTCATGTAATTGATCTTTAATGTGAAAACTTTCACTTTTAATTAAAAATAACTCAGGAAGTGTATGACAAGACAAAAATTTTTCCCACAAGTTATCAAATTTATTTCTACTAAATGAAATTATTCATAAAATGTTTGATTTCAACTCAATTGCATTTTTATGATTAAAAAAACTATACCTTATTACTATATATTTTTTATTAGATTGACTCTAAAATATGTAACAAAAAATACATCTTAAATAGAAAAAAAAAAAAGAAGAAGAAGAAGAAGAAGAAAAAGAAGAAGATATTAGCCTTAAATTATTATTTTTTATATATATTTTTTTATTCAGTTAGTTGGAGTTAAATAAAAATTTAAAAAAAAAATGTCATATTGTCCCATAGTGAAAATTAAAATATATAATTAATAATTCATATTATTGAGTCGTGTCATATTTGAATTTATGTCGAAGAATGGTCAATTCTGACTTACTAATTTTATATATTGCTTGAGTTATATCGAAAATTCTCATTCTTACCCCCACAATAATTTTAGCTCTTATAGCATTTGGTAAGCTAAAAAATAAAAATTCGATTCCACTAATTGAAGTTTACCTATGTTATATATATATTGTTTTGTTATCTAAATTTTGTTAAATAGTAAAGCTATAGAACTAAATTTTTATACTTTTCATTTTATCCACACATTTTTTTTTAAAGTAATAATATATGAAAGACTCAATTTAAAAAATTCACCTTAACCTCTAACAACTCAGGGCGCACCCTACACCAGACCACCAAAGAAGAAGGCTCTCAATGGAACCAGTATAGCCCAAGACAAACCCCACCAATTGATTACATCAGACCGGATTCTCCAAACCAAGGGACAAAACAATAGAATGTGATTCACTGATTCCTCCTCAGATTTACAGAAATGGCACAAAGAATTCGTAGTAGTGTTTAGTAGTCCAATCCTCTGCAGAAAAATAGAAGTTTCATTATAAAACAATAGAAGTAACTCTTGTTTACATGACTTTTCATTACAAAAACAAAAAATAATTACAGAGGTGGGGATATAACTCTTCTTGTGGTGGATTTCTTCCACATGGAGAATTGCAAACCTCATTTGTCTAGTTTTGATTTATTACACTGAATTATAATTCTCTCTTAATTGTACGTTGGTCTACCAAGATTCAAGACTTTTCGTTTGGGAAGTAGGTTGGTTTTTTTGGCTATTTTAACCTGGGGCTAAAAAGCCTAGTTTGAGAAGGGTTTTAGGCTTTTTTGGTTTTTTTAGCTTTTTTGTAAGAGAAATAATATAATGACTATAGGTTGGATATGTGATGTTTTGTCTTATTAGACTAGAAAGCTTTTTTTTTTTTTTTGTCGCTAAAATAGCCAAAAAAAGCCCAAACTTTTGCTTCCCAATTAAACTATTAATTCAGCCTTGTACATGCCATCAGTGGAGGAATTTTTTGAAATAATTATAAATAAATAAAAGAAGTTTACAATTTGACCATAAATAATTATAATTTTTTTTAAAAATGTTGATCGTAACAACAAAATAAATTTTTAATTTTATCAATTTAAACCATTCACCTTCCTTTGTTAAGTAAAATTGATCAATAAAAGTATATTAACCAACGAAGTCAATTAAAAAAAACTCATTTTTTGTCAGTTTTATTCAACCAAAAAAAAATTAATCAAAATATTTGAATTTAAATTGATAAAATTAAAATTTTATATTATTATAAGGGTCAAAATTCCAATTTTTTTGATATATTGCTAAGAAAATTCCAACGCACAATTATGAATCCTTGCATGTTTTATTTTTACTAGAAATAACCCGTGCCTAAAGGCATGATCAACAATTTTTTGGTATCACATCTGTTATGGAATTCAACTGTAATAAATTAATTCAAAATGATAATATTATTTCAATTTATAACTTTACAGATAAGAAGCTGAAATTGTTTCTACACATTAAACTAATAAAAATATTCATAAATCTCGAATAGCAAACTTCAAAAATAAAGTCCAAATAATGAATTCTATATTTCAGTATAGCATAAGCAAAGAATCTAAAAAGATTTGCTAAAACTTAAGTCCAAATAGCAAATTTTATAATTTGATCCACGTTAAAATGACACATGTATCACAAACGTTCAATAAAAAATATTACTGAATTAGTATCATAACTGGTAACTGTTTCACCTTCAATAAAAGATTTCAATACCTTTTTTGAGTGGATGAATGAATATTTTGATACAAAATAGTAATCATCCTAGCTAGCCAAAAATAAAACATTAATCATGCTATTTAGAATGAGAGCCAACCAACGACACACATAGAGTGTATTAACATCTCATATGTTCTTAAATTCACTGTCAAATAAAATCACATAATAAAATAATCTCTACTGAATCACAAAAAATAGAGACATCATGTCTCGAACAATTCGATTACATGTCTAACACTTATTTTCTATATTTAAGCAAGCATTGCAAAAAATAAATGGGAAAAAAAAAGAAGTGGCACAATAAAAGTTAAAATTTGAACTTGATGATAAAATAGTGCCACATTAGATAATATTTAACTAACAATTCCTTTTTTTCAAATAAAATGTTAGAGATGAGTCAAACAACTCTGACATGTCACCAAAATGTTTTACAAAATTGACTCAACTTGAGAGATTGTAGGTTGCAACACTTGATCTCTAATCTTAACCTTCTAGCAAATGAGTCATGCCTAAAAACACTTGCATACATTTTGATTTCTTTCAAAACCAACTATCACTACAAGAATTTTCACTTTTAGCGACTAAACTTTTAGTCGCCAAAAGTCAATTTTTAGTCGCCGAATGGATTTAACGACTAAATTTTTTGGTCTCAGAATTAGTAGCCGAAGAGTTGTCGGGAAAGCTAATTGGCGACTAAAATTATTTTAGTCGCCAAATGTATTCAATTGCCAACTAAATTTTTGGTTGCCGAAGGTTGGAGAAAAAATTAAATAATACATTTTCGGTGACTAAATTCTTTGTCGCCAAAAGGTTGGGAAAAAAATTAAATAATACATTTTTGGCGACTAATTTTTTTGTCGCCAAAAGCTTCAATTATTTTTAACGACCAAAGATTTAGTCGCGGAAAGGTTTTTAGCTACTAAATATATTAGTCACCTAAAGTAAATACTAGTGTTTTTATCCTTCCAATAACATAAAAAAATCCAATGATGTTTTAATTTTATATATTTCAATATTCTAATATGAAATTTATAACCATAAAAATTACCACCTAGTGAAATGTTCATATACAAATAGTGACATAGGGTAAACAATTCCTTTAGCATTCTAACAATTTTGACAAATTCAAATGACAAAATCAAAGTCTAAAAATCCAAAATACCACACAACAATCAAACAGAAAATTACTTATGCCTACGATACTCCTAAATTGAACACTGCTAGCAAAACTAATTAACAGTGCCTACTTAATTAATAACACGGCTAAATACGTCATAAATAATTTATTGCAATACATCCAAACTTTCTAATAAAAACTATGTGAATAGAGTTGAGAATTGCCTAAAACTACAAAGTGAACCTTGAAAGATAAATAACTCAAGTACTGAAATAGCCTATTATCTCATACTCTCAACACTTGTAGCACATTCAAGCTCACTGTGTCAAAATAGAGACCTCATGTCTCGAGCAATTTGATTACATGTCTGACCCTTATTTTCTATATTTAAGCAAGCACTGCCAAAAAAAAATTAAAAAAATTAAAAAAATGACAATAAAAGTTAAAATTTAAAAATTTGAACTTGATCACAAAATAGTGCTACATTAGATAACATTTACCTAACTATTCCATTTTTTGAAATAAAATGTTAGAGATGAGTTAAAGAAACAATTCCTTCTTTTCGAATAAAATGTTTGAGAGAAGTCAAGCAATTCTGACATGTTATCAAAATATTTTACAAAATTGATTGAAGTTGAGAAATTGTAGGTTGCAAAACTTGGTCTATAATCTTACTCTTCTCGTGGATGACTTGTGTCTAAAAATACTTGCATACGTTTTGATTTCTTCCAAAAACAACTATCTTTCCAATAACATATAAACAATCCAATGATTTAGTAATTCTATATATTTCAATATTCTAATATGAAGTTTATAACCTAAAAAATTACCACCTAGTGAAATTGTCCATACACAAATAGTCAAGTAGGGTAAAAAAATTCGTTTAGCCTTCTAACAATTTGACAAATTAAAATGACAAAATTAAAGTCTAAAAATCGGAAGTACCACACAACAATCAAAACAGAAAATTATTCATGCCTACGATACTCCTAAATTGAACATTGCTAGCAAAACTAATTAATAGTCCCTACTTAGTTAATAGCACAACTAAATACGTCCTAAATAACTTCTTGTAATACATCCAAGCTCTCTAATAAAACTTTGTGAACAAGGTTGAAAACTGTCTAAAACTACCGAGTGAAACTTGAAAGATAAATAACTCAAGAACTGAAATAGCACATTATCTCATACTCTTAACACTTATAGCACATTTAAAACTCACTATGTTAAAAGAAAGGGCACAAAGTAAAACAAAAAATAAACCCAACAAAAGTAACATAATGACCAATTTTTAGATTGATGTAATTGAGAGTTAATTAACATTGAAAAGAGACAACCAATTAAAAACCATCTTCTATATGTGACCAACAGACGTTTTAGCTTAAATGACATTGTCGTATAAAGTTGTCTTGCTTTAAAACTATGTTCACCAATGCTCCCTCCATGGACTTGACACATCCTGCAGCTTAGCTATGTCCATTGTCATGTGAGAAAACAAACAATAAGCTCTTCTACTTTAACTGCAAAAGGGCCAACAAATTAGATTAAAATAAATTTTCTAGTAATTAAGAAATCACCAAACAATAAATTATATAATCTAGTGTGTTTCTTAAAAAAAACAAACCCATAGAATAAACCAATTGTAGACACCTCATTTTTTATCGCCTTTAAGACTTGGGCAACTTAGGTTGATCACTCGATGATGAAAGTTATGCTGTACAAATGTTCGATTTCTTCAGCAAGAAGAACTTCTAAATCCCAACCTTACACCCCATTTTTGACCAAAACTATTTCAGACCTTAAAACTCTCTTTTTCAAAATATTTTTCCAAATATTTCTACGATGTTCCGAGGCTCGCATTTTGTTTAAAATATTGCGCTTTTTGGTAAATCGAGCAAGGAAAAAGTGGAAATAAATGAAAGGAGGTGAACTCTTTGAAAAAATCTTTAAAAAATCTTATTTATTGGTTTGGAGTTGAAGAAAATAAGAAGGGATGGAAGAAAATTAGTTAGAGAAGAAGTTGGGCATCAATCCATTAGAACAGAAATGAGAAGTCTTCACTAAAATAGGCATATCCCTTTGCACACCTAGAATTTAGATATGAGGCTACCACCATTGGAAAGTAGACTTCCGAGGCTTCAATTCAAACTCAAGAATCACTTGAAATCGAGTTCGGATGAAAGAGATATGCCCATTTGAAGTCGAGCCTAGAAGCAGATTTTTGCCTGCCGGCTACTAGTGGCCTGCCGCCCACTAATAGTGGTCGGCAACCCACTTTTAGTGGCCTACTGGCCACTTGTGTCAAAAACCAAATATTTTTGCCAGCTGTCCCCCACAAGCTCCAGCTATTCCTATACAGATATTTCCGACCTAAGAGGCTGTTTTTCTATATATACAAGGCTAACCCTCTTATTTTTAGGTTACAAAAAAATCCTTAAGGACCAAAACTTTAAATTCTCTCTCTATGTCTATCTTGCAACACACTGTAGACCGCTCGAACCCCGTTCTGCGCGCGAGGGCGCGAATCATTGTTCTTAACTACTACAATTCGGACTCGTGTCACAGTTCTGAATCTAATCTCACAAAGTGCAATGTGAGACCGATAAATCACCAAAGAGTCCAAATCCGGCAAATCATTTTGGAAAACTGATTTTTAATAAAGAAGTGTCAAACATGGACTGCATTGCCAGATACAGAGTCGCCACCTAAATATTTTATTTTGGGAAAATTTAGGAAACCCTGACTCGTGCCTAAGGCCATGTGTCCGTCATCACCAAAGTTGCCTCGGCTCGAGAACTTGGGTACGAGAGGGGAAGGTCATTCAATGAGCACCCCCGCTCACCCGATCAAAGATCGGCCTTTACTATCATGATATTTTGTTTTTGAAAACACATGCGTTCTTATTCCGATTATTAACCTAGAATTACTGTGTGATGCGCACAACATACAAGTATAGACTAAATCGCTCAAGTTGGAACAAAACATCTCATGTTTGTTTATTTGAAAATGGTTTGAAAGTGCTACTCACAAGAAGGCTAAGACGCGGATTTTCCACCCTCGAGTGGGCTTAGAAAACATGATTTTGCCACTTCAATTTGGCTTAAAACTCGCATTTTGATGAATTGTTCCAATTCAAGCAATAAAACCTTCATCCACAGGCATTCAAGCAGTTAATCACTTAAGCACATAGCTTCATGGCAAGTATGCTATCATGGCAACACTTACACTCATGCAAGGATGCTAAAGCGTAAACACTCACAGTGTACTCCGAGCCAAAAAAGAAGCTAGTTAGTAATCAATGCATGATCCTAGATATGTCAAGATAGCTAATGCAACACATGCAAAAATGCAACTAAGATAGGCTCGGCTATTCTAAGAAGTCATGTGAATGCAACTTGATAACATGCTGTTGAACATGTATTCAAGTAAATGTATTGAAATACAATGCAGTTAATATGATGCGCTGAGCCCGGTGCATGCAATACAGATAAATGAATGCAAACATGCGAAGCATAAGTATGCTAATTGAAACATGTCCTAAAACTAACCATCGTAAGCGGTTAAGTAAAAGGGAGAAAGAAATGGGGGTTGGAAGGCATACATCACACACACGCATGCTTATTACAACAGTTGTGCCCTCTCGACGGAGGGTCTGAATAATAAACTAACTAGCTAATCTAGGCTAATTAAACTAATTATTACAAACCAAACTAATTAACTAACTTAGCTAATTATTATTACACAACTGAATTGAAACAAATAGTTATGCTAAACTAATTGTGGTATTACACAACAAATCAAATGATTAAATTAAACGAACTAATCATGAATACTGAAATGGCCTCGCGGGCGATGAAGAGATGCATGCTCGGTCGGCTTTGCTCGGAAATCCACTACCGTGCCTCGTGTTGCCTTTGTTTGCACACTTCTGGACTTCTGAAAATTGTACCAACTTCCAAGGTACTTCTGATCCACCTTAGGAACAATCTGAGGGGTGATTGGCCGAGAGGAATGGCCATTGGCCAAGTGTAATGTCCATCGGCCAATTTTGATAGCCGATCGGTACACTAGATAGCCGATCGGCCACTTCTTCCTGTAAACTCTCCCTTTGCTGCAACAGAGCACTAACAGAGGCATGGCAATGTATTTGCAAGAAAATGTGTGTGCCACCACACTCCTTATCATGTCTAAGGCTCAAATGAGTGTAATGCTCGACTCTCGAGCCACCAATCATGCATCACAAGGCATGATGGCCAAAGAAGTCGAGTTGCACAAATCAATGTCAAATGAATGCACAAAAACACATAAATGCCTTGAACTCTATCATGCTTGATCAAGAGTGTCGGCGACCGAGAAATGAGGCACGTTTCATCACTTCAAGTATGAAATGTCCCTCGTTTACCATGTTTGGACTAACACCCTATCCAAACACAATGCAATGCAAGGCATGCACACACAATGCAATGCAACAAGCATGCAAAAATCATGCAATGCGACAAGCATGCAACAACATGCAATCCATCAAGTATGTAACAACACGAAATGCCACAAGCATACAACAACATGCAAATAACAATGTCATGGTAAGGGCCATAGAATGCAATATTGAATGAACCAAACCAACCTCAAACAAGCCTCATGCATGCCAATACAATGACTAAAAGCATGCTGAAAATGAAGTCTGAAAGCACATACAAACATGCATGCCAATTGGTTCACAAACGAAGCATGAAGGCACTAACTCTCAAGCACATTGAAGAAGTGAAAAATGTAAGAGTGTGGCAGTGAAATAGGCTCTGAAATCATGCAAGGAATGATGCCAAATCATGCACATATGACAAACAAAGCATGCTAGTGGGCTCGAAGCTTAAAGCTAGCCAAGGGACTTACACCATGGCTATACAAAGCAAGCCCCAAGGGGCCAAGGGCAACCAAAATAGTCCTAGATCATGCCAAAATGAGTCTAAAACATGCATGGAGCATCACCAAAACAAGCTAGCATGAAGGGCATGAAGCATGAACTTGCAAGGCTAATAAGGAGTATTACACTACACCTATCAAAACCAAGCATGAGGTGACTATACCAACAAAAATTAGAGTTATATCATGGCAAAATAACCCCAAAAACACACTGAAATGATAGCTCGCAAGCTTAGGCATGAAGGCACACACAATGACTCATGTTTAAGGCATAAAGAGCCAACCTTCCAAAGCATGGAAACAGTGACAAATGTGAGAACATGAACATGAAACATGGACTGAAATCACATATGAAATGATACCAATTCATGAAAATAGCTCAAGTAATACATTCTAGTGGACTCAATACACAAAGCTAGTGAGCTAGATTGAACCATGGCTATACAAAACAATGCATGCATGACCCAAAACACTTAAAATAGAGCTAGAGCATGCTAAAACATGGACAAAAGCCTGTTGAAGTTAAGCCAAAACATGCTAGAATGAGGGTCCAAACACATGATGCTTGTTAGGCTAGATTGCAAGATTATACTACAAGTATGTAAAGCATGCAAGATGCTACCAAACCAACCTAAAATAGAGTTGAGGCATGCTAAAATAATACCAAAAACATGCTGAAATGGAAGCAATACATGTTAGACAAACATGCTACTTTAATGAGCCATCTATACAACCATGCAAGACACAAGGAGAGAGGATGACCCTTTCCTATTTAAGACCTCAAAACACACTTTCCACCACTAAAATCCCTCTGGAATTCAGTGGTAGAAAGGTCATGCAAAGACAAAAAACAAGAGCCTAAAGTGATGGCTCAAAACAAGGCCAAATAAGGCCCCAAAGAGGGTAGACCATCCCCAACACCAACAAGACGTTAAACAATCATTCCAAATACATGAAAATAAAGCTTTTTACAGTTAAGAGTTAAGCCAAAATAAGCATGTAAATGAGGCTAAGTAAGCAATGAACACAAAGCTTAAAAGAGGGTTAGTGACTCACCCTTGTAGAACAACTCCAAAGAGGTAACTTCAGTAACTTTCTGAGCTAAAAACCAAACTTTGAGTTCAAACAAAATCCTCAAGTACCTCAACAACAAGAGTATGGTGTTTGAGTAGGTGCTTTAGTGCAAAAGTGTAAAGAAATTATACTTTAGAGCACAAACAAGCACAAATATAGAGAGAGGGGAAGAAATATAGAGAGAGTGTGATATATATCTTGTATATCAAATTTTCAGAACCTCTAGAAAGGGAGAGGGGTCTCCCTTCTTATAGAAAATCAAATCTCAAGCTTGTTGAGCAAGCTTGAGACTTGGATGAAATCTGTGCTCACCAGCTGTCACAGCTGGTACAAAAATATCTACAAAAGCAAATAAAAAGGCCTCGGCCAAAAGATATGGCCGATCGTCCAAAAATGGTGTCGATCGGCCAAAAAGAGTGCCGATCGGCCATCACTAATGGCCGATGACAAAAAAACAAGGCCAACAAGCACAAGGCTTGGCTGATGGGTTGTGGGGCTGGCCAACAAGCCACCCTCTTCCCTCAGAAACAAAACCACAAGTCCTTGGTCCACAACCAAACACAAAACAGACAAATTGAGAGATCCTAAGGCAAGGCGCGCAGCCGAGACCTTCGGGAACTCAAAACGAACACGAGCATGGATAATCATCGAGTGTTCAAATGATGGCGTCCGAGTCTTGAGGATGGTCAAAAATGGGGTGTCTACGCACACGCCTTACCCAAACACTTCCTAAACCAATATTGGAGCTCTCCTTGCTGAGATTATTGAGTCCAAATTTCAACCCTTGAGAGTGAGAACTTGTTGGTTTGTAAACAAAAGAGTTGCCTAGTTTCAAGAGGTATAATTTTGAGCATCTTTACACTACTTATTTTCTATCTTTTCTTGCTAATTTTGAACTGTTTTTACATTGTTTTTATGGCCTGAAAATTGTGGTTTAAAGCTACCAAAGGTGGTGGGGTAAACCACCATTCTTTGAACCTTGTTCTCTAAGCTTTTGCCCTTGTGTTTCCCATTCTTTTCTCAAATTTTGTTTGAGCTTTTTACCACTGAATTTCAAATTTTTTCAGAGGCTAAAAATATTGTTTTAAAGTCCCAAAAATTGAGGGGTTAGCCACCCGTCCTTATGCTTGTTTGCTAGCTTAATTGCTCCATTATTTTAGCTTACTCTTTTAGCTTCTTTTACCTCAATTCCAGCACTATTTTAACTTCATTTAGGACTGTTTTTATGTGTTAGTTTCATTTGTGCTTTGTATAGTATGTTTGTAGTGTAATTGTCCTCATAGGCTTTGTGGTTTAGGCCTTAGCCACCAATCTATTTGAGTTGATAGCATTTATTTCTTGTTTTACATACTTGTGTTCACCTCTAAGCATCTCTGTAACCTCCCTCATTTCTTGATTTTTCATTCTCTTTGAGAGTTGTTTCAACCGATGGATTGTTTAAGCTTGAGATTGAGGTCATTGTGCTTAATGGTTTAATCTCTTTGGAGGTTCATTACCAACGGCATGACATCTCTCTCATGCCTAAAACAACCCTTTGTTTGACACTTTTTTTCATTAGAGTACTTAATCTTCATTTTTGGACTAAATAAATTACGGGCGTTAAAATTGGGATAAAATGGACCAAGATAATAACATAATTTAGTATTCAATCGGACGTTAATTAAACACATGGAGACCTAAGTCATTTCATACTTGTTAGTGATGAAATAGTTCAAGTTTCCAAGGTCAACAACTTCCCTTGATCAAATCATGATAGGGAGGAGGTTTGCGAGTCTTTGATTGTGCATTTATTGAAATTGTATGCCTTGGTTCATAAGTCATCACACAATGAATTTGTGTCGATTGATGGCTTGCGAATCAAGCCTACCACTCATTTGAGTTGTTTGATGATAAGGAGGGGAAGGGTGGACAAATATCCCCTAAGGATGCTCTGTTTGTTCTCTATTGCAGCAGGAAAGAACCAACATTAGTGGCCGACAGGCCACTTTTATTGGACGGCAGACCATTATTTGTGGTACTTCTGGGTTGCCAGCCACTTTTTCTAGCTAGGCAGTGTCCCCTTTCTAGCAGAGGTAGAGGTTGAAAAATAGTGCAATTTTCTAACTGTGCAATAGAGGCATTCTGACAACAAAACAGGGCTTTTTTGAGTGGAAACCCATATCCATCCATGAACCATCCCTCGATTCTCGGGATCCGTTGAACTAATATTGTAATATTAGTATGGTGTACTTAGAGTAGCGGACTTGTAATTAATTAGTTAAATTAGTTAGAATAGCTAGTTAGTTTTGTGTTGTACTTAATTAATTAGCTAAAGTAGTTAGTTGATTTATGGTGTTGTAATAATTAGCTAGGATAGTTAATTTACTTCATTTGGTTTGTAATAGTTAGTTAATTCGTAGTAATTAGCTAGGACATTCATTCGGACCCTCTTGTGCGAGGGCAAATATGTAATAATGTGTATGTCTTCCAATCCCATGTCTTTCTACATGGGCAGTTTAGAACATCATGTTTCTTTTAGCATTTCCCATGTTTGCATCCACTTGTCTCGCATGCATATATCGAGGCTCGATTCATCATTCTAACAAGCATTGTAGTTTATATACTTCGTTGAAATACGTGTTTAAAACGTATGATATCAAATTAATTCACATGTAATAATTAGTAGCTGAGCCTATTAGTTACATATTGCATGTGTTGCATTAGTCATGTTGCATTAGTTAGGAATATGCATGTTTTCTAACTCTTTTGTTTCTTATGGCTCGCCTCGGAATACTTGGTGAGCATTTTTGTGCTTTAGCATATTGCATGAGTGTGATTGTTGCCATGTCTAGCATGCTTGCCATGAGGCTAATTACTTAAGTGTTATACCTACTTGAATGCCTGTGGATGAAGGCTAATTGCTTAAATTGGTATGATTTGATAAATGTACATATACGATCACTTTTTCTAGTGGCACATATTCAAACACTTTTTTTTAAAAAAAAACAAACACAAAATCAATTGTTCCAATTTTTGCAAGTTAGTTTATACTTGTGTGCGCATCACATAGTAACAATAGTCTAATAATCGGAACAAGAGCATATAACGTAAATAAAAATCACATCATGATTAGTAGAGGCCGATCTTTGATCGAACGAGTGGGGTGCCCAATTCATGGCATTCCCCTTTTGTACCTAAGTTCCCGAGCTGAGACAATCTTGGTGATGACGGACACGTGGCCTTCGGCACGAGTCATGGGTTTCTTAAATTTCCCAAAAATATTTAGGTGGTGACTCTATATCTAGCAAAGTAGTTCATATTTGGAATTTTGATTCAAAATCGATTTTTCAAAAGAATTGTCGAATTTGGACTCATTTGTATTTGTCTATTTCATATTGCACTAGTGGAATCAGATTCAGAACCACGGTAGTCCGAACTGTAGGGCTATCATATTCGAAAGGAGCACAAAAAGTCGAGCTACACCAATCCAAACAAAACCAAGGATAAAGTAATGCTAAATTTCTTTCATGAATGGTCAAGGACAAATAAATAAAAAAATCTATCCCTCCCAACTTGCATTATCAGGGGAAAAAACAAAAGGTCTAATTTAATTTTTGAATAGGAATATCTCCAAGAAAACATCACAACCATAGATAATTAATGAAATTATAATTCTCTAAAAAAAAAAAATCTTCGGTGCCTCCTCTTTTTCTCCAACTTTGCAAAATGCATGAATCTCAATAAGTCATTTTGTTGGCTTCAATTCAGAGCTGAAACGGGTCTAAACACGTCTTATATGAGACTTAAAATTTACTTGTCTCATCGCATTACGATTTCGTTTGCTCTCCAAGCATAATTTTTATTCTATATGAACAACCTCCCACTCCATTTTCAATCCTGAAATAATTCTCAAAGATTCTATTAAGGATACATGAACAACCACCCACTCCATTTTCAATTCTGAAATAATTTTTATTCTATATGAATAGCCTCCACTCCATTTTCAATCCTAAAAATCAAAATAAGGATACATGCTATTCTATGCAGCAAACATTTGTTGATGTTTCGAAATTCAAATTATACATTTTTTACTACCCTTTAGACAAATCTATTGGAAGCATGAAATTCAAATCATGACAGCCAAACTAAATTCAAAGTTACATATAAATAACCCACACAATGTGTAGGAACCGTAAGTTTAAATAATGCAAATTTCAAATCAAATTGTATTCTCCTAGAAGATTAATTAATGCTTTTTGACACTGATACACAACAACATAGACAATTTAGTGATAACCCATGCCTAAAGACACTCCTCAACAAAACCTAAGCATTCAGTAGTGTATACAACTCAACAATAAATGAGGAAATTTTTTTTATAAAACTCAGTAGCGTATACGTAAAAACTTAAAAAATATATTTTCAAAACCTTTAAGAGTAATTCAGCCATAACTATTCCATTAGCATCATTCTTTCAACACCAAAAAAATTTAAATCAATTCATTAAAGTTTATTCACCTAGGTTCCTTTCCCCCAACTCTCCCACATTCACATTCCACTCTTTCCATGTACAGTAAGCAAGAATAACATAATTGGTGAATGAAATATTGAATTGCCTTTTCTTGGCATTATAGAAGTTGTTTCTGGTGCAAAAGTTGCTTCAATTTTGTTACCTCAAATGCAAGAGAAGTAACCAAACAGCTAGTTTGAGCATTCTCATGGCAGCATTAATAAATCAATTGCTAATTTGATATTCCTTTCATAATCAATTAAGAAAAGCTCCCCAATTAGAATACAAAAGAAATTCTATATAGAATATCAAACAAATCTTGCATATAATATCAAATGAAATCCTATATGAAATATCAAGACAAAGAACAATGAAGACAATTGGTTTAGAGATGATAATTTATTGTATTCCATAAAAATATTATTCAAAGGATGTAATCAATTTAAAAAGAAAAAAAAAAAAAAAATCATAAACTCAAAACCAAGATTATTTGAGAGTATCCAAACTATATATTTAGAAGGAATGAAGGTAAAAGTTGTAAGCTACCAATTTTCTTACATCCATTGAAGATAACATCCCATAGTAAGCTTCCAATTTTCCTAGTGTTCCCCCTTTATCCAATCTGATAGTATCTTTCCCTTCACCTATGATTCCAATCAACTAATAAACATCACATGTCGTCGAGCGAACATGGTAGAAAGCTCAGCCAAGAGAAACTTTTGTTCCCTAATGTCATAGATTGAAATAAATCTAAAATTCAAAATTTTGATTAATTTCCTTTCACCTTCCATTCCAAATCAATCAATAAACTCAGTGATTAAACCCCAAAGAGAAATTAGACCCATAAATATATGGATATGTAAATTGAAATGAGTAGTTTCCTAGTTTTGGATAACTAACATGCATGTTTTGGCTTATAACTAAGTTCCATTTACATACCCACTACTACAGTGTAAAAGAAAAAAAATAAAAACAGAGAAAGCAAAAGAAACCATATACTCATTTGTCATAGTACTTATAGTTTATCTTGTTGTCATATCAGCAAAGAAGCTAAAATTGGTTATAGTATACATTTAATTGGGCACATGCCGTAAATATCCACCCTCCATATTAAACTAATTTTCTTTGATTTCACTCTTTCAACCCTTCAGATTGAGCGAATTTTTTAACATGAAAGACCCAATTACTCTTTCAAGTAAACAAAGCTAACTCTCAAAGAATCATAACAAAGTTTAAAAGTAAAAATAATAATTAAGAGGGTAATTTATAAGGGCCGAGCTAGGTAAATGGGCCGCGGTAAAAAGGGCCGAGTGAAAGGACCTTGCAGTTAGCTCGATCCAAATTGTGCTTGTGATTACCACGGTCGATATGGTGTAATTAGCTCAGTCGTACCATTCTGAGCCAAGATGATTTGAGCATTCCTCAAGACCTTGCTCTTGATTAGCTCAGTCCAAGCTTGCTGTGGTTAGCCCGGTCTCAACAGGCGAAACCGAAGTGCAAGCATTGAAGAGAAGAACCGAGCTAGTTAGAGCTCGGTCATTTCTACCAGTTTAGCATGGCCATGTTAGCCTAGTCGTTTCGTCATACCACCAAGGTAGAACCATCTCACTTGGTTTAAGCAGTGAGAGGGGTGTTAAAGGATAAGCATTATCTTTCAGGAGGGTGATTCCTAGGAGGACTCTACATGGAGGAATAAGAGTCCTACTAGGATTGTGCTACGCGGAACCTATAAAGGCTAATAATAGAACCTATGGAAGAGGTAACACAACTTTGATTCTCGAATACACAGAGCTTTTGTCTATTTGTTTATTTTGCTGACTTAGGCATCGGAGAGGTATCCGGCACACACCCGCCGGCTAGCTCACGTTTGTGTTTTCAAGGAGTAAAGCGACAACGTTTGGAGGAGCGCAGACTTGATCAACAGGATTATACGAGAACATTATTTTTTGCTCGTACAATTGGCGCCGTCTGTGGGAATTCCAGAAAGAACAAACCTCTTGATCGAGTTTTTTCTTTCTAATTGAAAATAATGGCGCACAATGAAGATTTGCCGCAATCTACTATCAACGGACAAACCCTGGAGGGGGGTGGGAGGTGCGAAGGTTTGCCTTCTATCCATCCCATGGCAGATTTAGAACCTCAGCAACAGAACCCCCGGAGGGATGCAAGGGGAAGGCGGGCTAACAGCCCTCGTCGCTCCCAAAGTCCTAAAAGACAGAGGCGAAGGATCGACCCTCAAGTTCTGAAAGATCGCGTGAAGGAGCAGGATGAGTTAATAAGGAAGATGGTGGCAGACATGGAGTTTATGAAGCGCCAGATCAAAGGAAAATGGGTGGCGACAGGAGATGGACGCAAAAGCAACACGCCTCCTCGCTACTCGGAAGATCGTGGTAGGCATACCACACCATCGCAAGCAGAGAGTAGGAGGCTGAGAACAGGCGACACTCAGTCAAGAACTCCCAGGACTCATTACTCCAGGTCTGAGAGAACGAGAACTGAGAGGTCATATACTGAGGGAAGCACCTAGCGGCCCTCGCGCACGCACCAGACGTCATCCAGGCAGACGGAGTTGCCTAGATCATCCAATTTACGAACTGTGCTAGAAGAAAGGGCACGATGGAAGGAAGATACCAGGGCGCACGACCCGCACAGAGTTTCAACCCTTCAGCGGTTGGCTCCTCGGAGGCATGGGAGCGTCGAGGTAGGAATGCCAATACCACGCCTTGGTTACGAACCAACAGACAAAACATTAGCAAGGCTGCAAACCTCGCCGTTCACTTCGGCAATTGAGAACGCACCATTACCTTCGGGCTTCCTCCAGCCCAAATTCACTACTTATGAAAGGAAGACAGACCCCTACATGCACCTAAGCCACTTTCACCACGTTATGGCAGTATACAGGCGGAACGAGGCCTTAATGTGTATCCTGTTCCCATCTAGCCTGGGCGACCTGGGTTTAACCTGGTTCGAAAGGCTACCAGAAGGCAGCATCACCTCATGGGCATAATTGGCAAAAGCGTTCGTGACTAGATTCAAGACGAACACCAAAACACCAGTGGAGATCGACCTGTTACTCTCTGTTGACATGGGCAACAAGGAGACGTTAAGATCCTACAACAGTCGTTATTGGGAGACTTTCAACCAAATTGGGGATTGCCCTACAAACCTCGCCATTGCACAATACAAGCGGGGCCGGGGCCTGCCAATCGGCAACAAGTTGAGGAATTCAATTACTATGATGCCACCCCTCACGATCGAGGCCTTGATGGAGAGAGTGCACCAGCATATTTGGGTGGAGGAGGATGGCACCCGTGCTAAAGTAAAATTTGGTACAACAGCAGTGCCTGATAAAAAGTCTACAGCAAAAGTCAACACGGTAGAGCGACCAAGCAAGAATGGGCGAGACAGGCGGGCCAACAGAGAGGACCCAGACAAAATGTGGTTAAGAGTTCGCACTGCCATTACCACGGTGTTCAAGAAACCAATCTATAGAATTCTCAATGAGATACGCGATGAACCTTTCGTCCGATGGCCAGCTAAGTTGGGAGAAGCACAAAAAAACTGTGACGAAGGATCCCGGTGTACCTTCCATAATGAAAAGGGGCACCGCACAGAGAATTGCACGCCGTTGAGATAACACTTGGAGGAGTTAGTGGCAGCTGGGCACCTGGACCAGTACATAGAAGGAGGGACACAGCCAGCCTCCTAGAACCACAACAACCCAAACGGAATGCCGGTCGACACCCCACCTCAAAGCGTAATTAACGTAATACATAAAGTGAACCTGAGCGAGTATGTGAGCTCAGGGGAATGATCAAGAAGGCTGAGCACTTAAGGGAAGTATTAAGTGCACAACTTGCCATCAAAAAGAGAAGAACAGAAGCCACGAATGTCATATCTTTTTCAGACAGAGACTTGGCAAGGATATATTGCCCTCACAATGATGCACTGGTCGTCACACTCTGCGTCAAGGATTACAACATCAAACGGATTTTGATTGACCAAAGGAAGCTCGTGTGAGATAATATATTACGAAACCTTCAAACAATTGAAACTGGAGGACAAAGACTTGACGCCTGCAACATCTCCCATAATCGAATTCAACTCAATGCCAGAGTGGCCAATGGGCAAGACAATCCTCCCAATCAGAGCAGGAAGCATGACGAAACAAGAGGAATTCTGAGTATTGAAAGTCCCTTCCACTTACAACATAATCTTGGAATGGATATGGCTGCATGCCATGCGATCGGTAGCGTCAACCTACCATCAAGTATTGCGGTTCCCCAACGAAGTCGGAGTAATTGAAAAGGTTTTTGGAGACCAAATTATGTCCAAACAATGCTTCGTCACAGTAAATGGCAGCCGTGCTGCCAAGGGATATGTACAGATGGTGGAAGAACCTGAGAGCAATGAGCTGTTCGCAGATGTTGGCAAAACAGCTGAACAGAAGGCAGTGGAAGACTTGGTACAGGTAAGGATAGATGAAAAAGACCCAAAAAAGTTCTTTTTGCTCGGCTCGTCATTGTCCAGCACTAAGAGAATAGAGGTCATGAAATTCTTAACCTCTAACATCAAAGTGTTCACCTGGACGCCGTATGACATGCCTGGCATTGACCCAAACTTCATCTGTCACCAATTAAATGTCCACCTAACTGCCAGACCAATTATACAACGCACTCGCAGATCAACACTCTACCACGCCGAGATAGTGGCGGAAGAAGTGGGAAACCTTCTAGAGGTAGGAGCTATCAGAGAAGTGCACTATCCCAAGTGGATATCCAATACTGTGGTGGTGCCAAAGAAGAATGGAAAATGGCGTGTCTACGTGGACTACAAAATAGTCAACAAGGCATGCCCAAAGGATAGCTTTCCCTTACCGCGGATAGACCAAGTGGTATACCTAACAGCAAGACACAATCAACTTAGCTTTCTTGATGCATACAGAGGTTACCATTAGATCGCTATGTATGAACCAGACCAGGAGGTCACATCCTTTACGACGCCAAGAGGACTGTATTGCTACAAGGTCATGCCCTTTGGCCAAAAAAACATACGGGCAACATTCCAGCGGATGGTCACCAAGATGTTTGAACCATTGTTAGGAAGAACAATGGAGGCATACATAGATGACATGGTGGTAAAAGCAAGGATGAGAATGACCATCTCAGGGACCTAGGTAAGATGTTTCAGATCCTGAAGAAGAACAAGTTATGCCTTAATGCATCCAAGTGTGCGTTCGGCGTAGGATCTGGCAAATTCCTAGGCTTCCTGGTGACCAACCGAGGCATAGAGGCAGACCCCTCTTAGATCAAAGCAATTCAGGATCTAGAGAGGCCCAACTCAGTAAAAGAAGTGCAACATCTCACTAGTATGGCAGCTGCGCTCAACCGGTTCATAAGTCGATCGTCAGACAGATGTCGACCATTTTTTCAAGTGTTAAAGGCCAAGTTTGAGTGGGATGAAGAATGCGATCATGCCCTAGAAATCCTGAAAGAATACATATCTTCCCCACCGTTGCTAGTAACCCCAATACCTAGTGAAGAGCTCTTTTTGTACCTGGCAGTTTCACAGCGCGCAGTCAACGCGGTGTTGGTCAGAGCATAAGGAATCCAACACCTGCCCATCTTTTATGTCAACAAAACCTTGTTGGGCGCAGAAACCAGGTACTTACCATTGGAAAAACTGGCCTTAGCCCTGATGATGGCCTCTAGGAAACTGTCGCATTACTTCCACGCCCATACCATAATCGTCCTCACAGCTTTTCCATTAAAAGCTTTGTTTGAGAGGGCGAACTTTTCTGGGCAAATCTTGAAGTGGACAGTGGAGTTGGGACAGTTTGACATCAAGTTTCAATCCAGAACAGCAATAAAAGCCCAAGCTTTGGCGGACTTTGTGGCAGAGTTCACACTAAGAAGTCATCACATCTGCCCAGTTGACTTGATGGGTACAACCGAAATGGGGATGGAAAGCGCTGCAGGAAATATGCAACCCCTGATACGGGATGCCCAGCCGCATCCTAAAACAGACCGGAGTGAAGAAAGGGAAGAAGAAGCAAACCATGCTACGCCAAGCAAAGAATCATCAACAAGTAAAAACTTGGTACAATCAGATAGTGAGGGGCAAACAGTAAGTGTGGACTTGGAAGAAAATACCAGCAACACTCATGACCCCAAGGCATCATCTGATTCCTCCACTTGCTAGAAGTTGTTCGTTGGAGAGATGTGGAAGCTCTTCGTGGATGAAGCGTCCAACAGGCATGGTGAAGGACTTGGCATAGTCCTTATCTCACCAGATGGCCTAATAGTGGAACAAGCAGTCAACCTTGGCTTCCCAGCATCAAACAACGAAGCGGAGTATGAAGCGCTTCTGGCAGGACTAAAATCAGCACTTTACATGAAGGCCACCGAGCTAATGGTTTACAGTGACTCACAGCTAGTGGTAAACCAAATTTCAGGCGACTACGAGGCAAATGATGAAATGATGGCTAAGTACCAAGAATTAGTCAGAAAAGAGATCATGAAATTTGAAGTAGTGCGGATAGAGTAGATCGGCAGGGAAGAAAACAGTAGAGCAGACGAACTAGCAGGCTTTGCTTCGATGGCAGATACATCCATCCCACATCCATTACTGATGGACTACTTACCAAGACCAAGCATCGAAGAACCTGAAGTAGCAGAGGTATCTTGTGTCGAACTAGGCCCTTCATGGATGGATCCCATTATAGTGTTCTTAAAGGATGGCATTTTACCAGAAGAGAAGAAAGAGGCCAACAAAATAAGAGCAAAGTCACAGCGATTCTGGCTCTCTCCATCAATGACCTTGTACAAGAAATCCTTCACAGGACCCTACCTGAAATGTGTCCATCCTAGCAAGGTTGAGGCATTCTTGTTCGAGATACATGAAGGCGTATGCGGAAGCCACCAAGGAGGAAGATCATTAGCCTACAGGGCAATTTCGCAGGGATATTGGTGGCCTTACATGCAAGCAGATTCAGAGAAGTATGTCAAGAGTGCGAGAAATGTCAGAAGTTCGCACACCAAATACATCAACCAGCCGGAGAGCTTCTACGTTTAACTAGCCCATGGCCCTTCGCAATGTGGGGCTTGGATATAGTAGGGCCACTTCCAACGGCACCCAACAACAAAAAGTTCTTTCTTGCATCAACAGACTACTTCACAAAGTGGGTGGTGGCAGAAGCACTCGCATCAATCAAGGAAAAGGATGTGAAGAAGTTCGTCTAGCAGAATATCATTACTCAGTTCGGCATACCAAAAGCTCTAATATCTGACAATGGCACCCAGTTCGATGGCAAAATTTTTAGAGGCTTTTGTGAAGAATACAAGATAGAATTCTATAATTCTACACCAGCATACCCCCAAGCAAATGGCCAGGCGGAAGCATCAAACAAAGTCATCTTGGATGGATTGAAGAAAAGGCTAGAGAAAGCAAAATGAAAGTGGGCTGAGGAGCTTCCTCATGTTTTATGGGCTTACCGTACCACACATCGGCGATCAACTAGAGAAACATCATTCTCCTTAGCCTACGGCATGGAAGCAATAATTCTACTGGAAATTGGCCTCCCCACCATCAGAAGCGAAAATTTTGACCCAGAGTTAAATGGAGAAGGCATAACCTTGGAACTTGACCTAGCGGAAGAAAGAAGAGAAAGAGCACTGGTCCACATCGCTTCGTATCAGCAAGAGTTATCTAGAAAATATAAGAAGACAGCATATCCGAGGCAATTCAAGATTGGAGATTGGGTACTGCGCAAAGTAATGGGAAATACTCAAGTACCGGGAGATGGCAAGTTAGGGCCTAATTGGGAAAAACCATACAAAGTGGTTGGATTAGCAGGAAAATGGGCATACCACTTGGAAGATGGCGACAGCAAGACCATTCCCAGGCCGTGGAACACTGCCAATCTCAAACTATTTTATTTTTAGCTTTTCTTTAAAGTACTTGTAATTTTTCCTTTTTCAATAAAACAAGTAGTTTCTTTTCAGTATAATTGTTTTCTGCTGTAAAAGTTGTTTTAGTGAGCTACGGGTATTGAAAGCAGAGTTGGCTGGAATAACCAACTTTAAGCTCTCTTCAGCCGAGATTAGGATCTAGGCTGAAGAGGTTGGCTGAAAAAACCAACACTTCTCCTAAGCCGAAGGTAAGGATTTAGGCTACAGGACGTTTGGCAGGAATAACCAAACACTTTGGCACTAAGTTGGCAGGAATAACCAACTTTGAGCTCTCTTCAGCCAAGATTAGGATCAAGGCCGAAGAGGTTGGCTAGAAAAACCAACACTTCTCCTAAGCCGAGGATAAGGATCTAGGCTGCAGGAAGTTGGCTAGAAAAACTAACATTTATTGCTCTTCAGCCGAGATAAGGATCTAGGTTGAAGAGGTTGGCTGGAAAAACCAACACTTAGTACTCTTCAGCTGAGATAAAGGTCTAGGCTAAAGAGTGGTTGGCTGAAAAAACCAACTTTTAGCACTCTTCAGCTGAGATAAGGATCAAGGCTGAAGTGGTTGGCCAGAAAAACCAACTTTTAGCACTCTTCAGCCGAGATGCAGATCTAGGCTAAAGAGTGGTTGGCTGGAATAACCAACTTTCAGTACTCTTCAACCGGGATAAGGATCTAGGCTGAAGAGTGGTTGGCTGGAAAAACCAACATTTAGTACTCTTCAGCCGAGATAAGGATCCAGGCTGAAGAGTGATTGGCTGGAATAATCACTTTTAGTAATCTTCAGCTGAGGTAAAAACCTAGGCTGAAGAGGTTGGCAGGTATGACCAGATAGGTCTCAAGGTTAAGAACGAGATAGGTATCTCGGCCAGAAAATGTTATACTTCATTCAGATTACAGTTGGAAAATAAATGCAAGCATAGAGTAAACCGAAGCAATAGTTGAAACAAAAGAAGATTTCATTCAAAATTATCAACAGTACAAGAGGTGGGGCCTCAGCCCGATTACAAACATTTCTAAAACAAGGAAAAGAAAAGTCAGGAGAACAGGTCTTCCAGGTCGGCATCCAGATCAACCCGAGCTTCACCTAAAGGTAGCTCGTTTGTGGCAAGCACACCTTGGTCAAGCTCGGTTAAAGGCACCACATTAGTCGCAACCAATGAAGGTGGGATGGAGACCATTGGAGTGGGAGAGATAGATTGACGACCGGGCTGGGTGTTGGCTTCAGGAGCAGGATCTTCCTCGTCTTCCTCAGCTTGAAGAAATTTTTGTTGAATGGCAGTTGCATACTCCACCATGTAGCTCAGTATGAAATGTGGAGGAGGGTTTTTGAAGACCTCGGTCTCCTGGCCATGACCGAGCTGTGCCACGACTGCTTTCCACCCACATTTGAAAAATATATCCTTGGCAGCTTCGCACTGTAGGATATACGTGGCTTCACCTTCTTTGTAACTGCGGTCTTCCACGTCTTCCACCTTCTTCTCCATCTCGGTTATCTCAGCATTCTTCTTTCCCTCGAGCTTGGCCAGCTCGCGCAGATATTTGTCTTTCAGTACGGCTGCAACTTTTTGCTTATCTGCTTCAGCTGAGCTAACAAGACCAGTCAGGCGGGCCATCTCGATGTTCAACTCGACCATTTTCTTCTTGGCCTCCTTTAGCTCAGCTGATTTGCCTCGGCCTCAACCACGGCCTGCCGTGTGGTCTTTCGAAGTTCCAACACTCGCTTATGCGCAATGTGATTTTTCTACATGGCCTCTGAAAGGAGAGATGGAAAATATGAGTAAAAATTGAGCAAACAGATGGTACAGAATAAAAGACGATTACAAGGAGTACTTACCAGCACCATTGACTTCGTCGCCGACCGGATGGCCTTTAGCTCGACCAAATGTTCATGATGTTCCATATTAGGGGGCAAGCACATGCTCTTAGCCAGGTTGAAGGCGAGCTTGTGGTCTTTGTCTGCCACTACTGAATCTGTGTCTCTGATGGCTCGGTTGCGGTAGAATAATTTCGGTGCCCATTCAGAAGAGCTAGCCCGGTCAGAACGCTCAGGCTGGGGGCTCGGTGGCGTGGTTTGGGAAAGCACTATTCCATCCTCATCAACAAGGCGTGGCTCAGTGGTGGAAGTCCAAGCACGCTTGCTTGGCTGGGATGAAGACGGCTGAGTGGTTGGAAGGGCTACCATGGCCGGCTGTGTTTGACTGGCTTGTGGTACCTCGGGTTGGTTTGTCTTGGTAATAAGGGCCCTCACTGCTCTCTTCTTAGCCATTTATTGTTCTACAGTTAAAAGGATCAGGTTGATTTGAGGCAAGGTTGGATCTGGTTCTGGCGAAGGCTCCAACAAGAAGTTTGTCACCTTGGTCTTTCGCTTGCTGCTGTATCTATACGTCGGCTCAAAGTTGAGTAGTTCGGCCTAACCTCAATTAGGATATCTCAGTGCGGCGCGGAGTGTGTCAAGGTTGGGGTAACTGTACAGCGACTTTAGATGGTTCAAATCTGCATAAAGAAAAGAAGACAACGGTTAGTGCGGTTCAAAGCTTACTAACAGAGTAAAGAATGCACGAAACTAAGCCGAGGTAATTATACCGGCTACTCCTTTATTCCAATTGATTCGGTCACCCGGGATCTGGGCTTCTTGGTCTTCAAGGTTACCAGAGACCCAGAAAAAGTCGTCATCGTTTACATCTTTGTCTGGGGTGCTTTTTATTATCTCTTCTCGGCGTCTTCTTATTCTTAAATAATAGACCCAGCTATCTTTGTTCTGGCCAAGTGAATATTGGTGAAATAGTTCGGCCAGGCCGAGGTTAAGGCCAAGCCAGCAGTTTAGCTCGGCGATGCTGTTTATTATTCGGTATGAATTTGTGGAAAGCGGGGTAGGGCAGAGATTTGTTTGTCGGGGGAATTCGCAAAGAAAAGGCTGAACGGGAAAACGGAGACCGGCCTCTACGATGGAAATAACGTTGAAAGGCACAAAGCATGGTTTTCCCCAGGGAATGGTGTCTAGTTCGGCTAGTGAGAGGTGGATGTCGCCTGGAATTTGGTAATCCTTTCGGAACTCGGCTATGGCTCGTGGAGAGTTCAATAAAAATCGATACTTCCCCATGTGGCCTTAAATTACGTATAATTTAGTTTGGCGTTGAGATGACCTTCAGTATCTCAGTTAAGCGTGCAAAGGTGTGCCTGGCCAACCTAAGTCAATCTGCAAAGTGCAAAGGAAAAGTGTTAAGCACAGATCGATGGACCGTGCTAAAAGTACCGAAGGTAAAATAAATGTTGTCTTAGCTCGGCTACATTTGACACTGTTCATTCTTAGCTCGGTTTGAGCGAGGAACTTTAGCTCGGTTAAGTAAATAAGAAGTTCGTAGCCCGGTTGAAGCTTATGGTGCAGCATTCTTAGTTCGATTTTTGACTAAGTCAGGGAGCTGGTTTGGCCCCAAGTTATAGCTCGGTCCATGTTTGAGGCTTTCTAGCGCAATATTGCGCAAAACTAATACAGTTCATTAGCTCGGCTAAGTGAAACAGAAGGTACTTAGACCTATTTGAAACTACAGGTATGACATGAAGTCCTAGTTCGGTTGTTCAGTTTTGCTAGGTTCGCACCTAATGCAAACAACTTCCTAGTTCGGTTGAAGTATTATTTTGGATCAAAAGCATTGTTTCCCAGATTGTTCGTGAATCTAGAGGATCTATTACATGGTTCATGTGCAAAAGTGGCCATATCCCGTGGAAACTACAAAGTGTTTTGAGAAGCATACATACTACACTATGAATTACCAAAACAGTGCGAAATAAACGGAAAGGAAACAGATTTGAGCCACATACCAGTCAAGAATAAAGGAACTAAAGACGGAAACAATATCAGCGAAAGACGAGTTGATGAAGATCGAAGTCGCGAGGGAGAGCTTTGCAGGTACTGTGTTTGGAAAAATGGAGGCTCAGAGAGAGAGGAGATGAATAGTGGAAATGGTTGGTTCAAAAAATTTGTATAAAGTAAAGGGAAAATGCAGGACTGTTCAAATTTTTCGGAGTACGAAGACGGTGTAACGGCGTGACAGCTACGCTGGGCCAATGAGAGCTTGCCATGTGTCCATAGAATGGGAAGCGGTTCAGTTACAACGACTGAAAAGACGTTTTGATCGGACAGATTAGTAGCTCAGTGTGAATTTAGCCTGGTTGAAAGGCAGAAGTTTTTAGCTCGGCTGGTAATGGGTAATCCTAATCATGCTGTGCGGATGGAATTAAGGGGTAATTGAGAGGGTAATTTATAAGTAAATTGGGCCGAGCTGGGTAAATGGGCCGCGGTAAAAAGGGCCGAGTGAAAGGACCTTGCAGTTAGCTTGGTCCAAATTGTGCTTGTGGTTACCACGGTCGGTATGGTGTGAGCCGAGATGATTTGAGCATTCCTCAGGACCTCGCTCTTGATTAGCTCGGTCCAAGCTTGCTATGGTTAGCCCAGTCTCAACAGGCAAAACCGAAGTACAAGCAATGAAGAGAAGAACCGAGCTAATTAGAGCTCGGTCATTTCTGCCAGTTTAGCATGGCCATGTTAGCCCGGTCGTTTTGTCATACCACCGAGGTAGAATCATCTCACTTGGTTTAAGCAGTGAGGGGGGTGTTAAAGGATAAGCATTATGTTTCAGGAGTGTGATTCCTAGGAGGACTCTACATGGAAGAATAAGAGTCCTACTAGGATTGTGCCACGCGGAACCTATAAAGGCTCATAACAGAACCTATGGAAGAGGTAACACAACTTTGATTCTCGAATACATAGAGCTTTTGTCTATTTGTCTATTTTACTGACTTAGGCATCAGAGAGGTATCCGGCACACACCCGCCGGCTAGCTCATGTTTGTGTTTTCAGGGAGTAAAGCGACGACGTTTGGAGGAGCGCAGACTTAATCAACAGGATTATACGAGAACATTATTTCTTGCTCGTACAATAATAATAATAATAAAATAAAATAAAAAATCCATAAAAACATTAATGGGTTTTAGAGGGAGGGAGCAGAATGGGTAAATTTCTCTACAATACAAACTTAGCTACCAAATTTAGCATCAAAATTTCAATAAATCAAAATGAAAGAATAGAATCCACAAATACAAAATACTATTTGACAAACCAAATCAAATACATTGTAAATGAGAAACAAATCATTCAATATGAATGAGAAACAAAATCCACCTACAATCAAACCTTTCTTGGTCATCACAACCAACCATTTCAAAACCCACAATATCTAATCCAGACACTCAGTTCATGGAAGGCCATTTGATTAACTCCCTCCCCCCCCCCCCCCCAAAAAAAAAAAAAAAAAAAAAACCTTAGTCTCTCATCTTGCATATATAAAACACCCAACGAAAACCCAATTTCAAAGACCCATTTTAGAAATATATTTTAGAAACCTATGTGAGGTACAAAGACTACTACAATACCCTTTACTAAGCTCCATAAGAAAGAAAGATTAAGAAAAAAATATTCAAGAAAACAAATCTAGTGGAGAAAGCAAAACGTTTCAGCAATACTATTTTTCATCATAGTTTACATTGTCTATTGTTCATCAATCCCATTTTGTTTCCATTTTTTATGCAAATGGGAATGGAACATTGTCTGAAACCCTATAATCATGGAAGAAGACCTAATAAGTAACAAACCAAAAAATATAACTTTGTTCAAAACTATATGAGTAATGAAACAAATGTAAAAAGGAAAAACATAGAACAACATGAAAACAGCAAAAGCAAACAAACTAAAACTTAGGAGAAAACTAATGATTAGAGGGAGAAAGGGAATGACATATTTATCAAAGAGATCTCAAAATTGAATACCTTTCATTATAAAAATTAATGAACTGCAATAAAAATTCATGAATTATAGCAAGAGAAAATCAGATATTAGAAACTGATTTAATACAAATCTAGCAATCGAAACAAAGAAAAGAAAATAGTTAATCAAAGTACCATTAATAGTGTAAGGGAAAATATACGTGGATGTCCATTATCCACCGAGTAACTAAAAGAAAATAATGGTATCTTAGGTGACTTTGTCACAGATCGACTCACTTTCACAGTTCATTATCATCAACATGGATGTCCATACTCTACAGAGTAGAGCATATTCAAAAACAAAAAATTACACAGAGACACTAAAAAAAAAAATAAATAAATAAAATAAAATAAAAAAATCATTTTGTTACAAAGATGAATAAAGTGATTGACAACAAATAAATAAATCATTCAAATGCAAAGTATTACCAAATCAAATTGATTCATTAAAACCCCAATTCTTCTACTTGAGTTGAGTTATCAAGTCTAAAAAAGAAGAAGAATGAGACCAAAGAAAAACTAATAAACAAAGCTCAAAGGACAGTTTCTATCATAGCATACCAATCCACATTCCCAAAAAATAAAAATAAAAAGTGAGCCTTGTTACATATTTGTACTCTAATTAACATTGTAAAACCTAACATGCATTTGGTAGTGGGTCTAATTTTTGGTTAATTCTTTATTTTTTCCCTAGATCATATTAAATCCCAAGGGAAATAAAGAAGAAAAAAAAAAGGAAACTAAACCTATTAGAGTAAAAAATAATGAAAACAAAAAGAAAACTAATTCATATAAATGAGAGAGAAAAGTAATATAGATACATCAAAAGACACTCAACAAAAAAAAGCCAATAAAAGAGGAAATAACGTAAGTTAATATTATAATTATGCTAATGGATACTGTATCCATTTAAAACAATTATGTGCCGCTGTCAGTTGAGAGAAAGAGAGAGAGTCACAGGAAAACAACTTCATTAAGAATCTAATGATCTTAAAAATAGCATAAGTCACCTGGCAAAACAAAATCAATTATTTGTTCAAATGAAATGGGAGATCACACTGTGTTAACAAAATCAAATTGATAACTCATAATGGGAAAAAAAATGAAAAAACCAATTTGATAGTGTTTTTTTTTTTTTTTTTTTATTTGAAGCCTGTAATATTCTCAAGATACAGTAAAAAGGGAGGGAAAAATCACACACAATTATTATTGTCAACTTGAATGCTACAGAATTTGTTTCCCAATAAAAGCCAAGCACCCTATTACCAACAAATATTGCAAAAATAATAATAATAATAAAATAGAAAACATCAAATAAAAACTTCAACTATTAATAGGTACCAAAAGGTATAATTCAAATATATCACAATTTTAGCAACAAAAATAACTAATTAATCAACAAAACTAATTAATTAAAGTTTGCTGCAGCTTTTCCCATGGTTTCAACATCTCCAGCATAACTAAGTAAGTAAAATACCTGTTTGGGATATCCTTGAACAGAGCCAGCAGGACCAAGACATTGAAACAGGGCCAGCAAGACCAAGACAAATACCCACAACCTTAGTCTGCTCGATTGTCGCCGTCGAAGTCGCTCCATCATATGAAGCAGAAAACATAATGGTGCTTAAAGATAGAGTAGATAAAATATAAAGAGATAGATTAATGGTGCTTGAACAAATAACCCAAGTCAATTAAGAAAAATAACAATTAAGAACATCAACACTTCACTTTCTTTTCTTTTCCCCCACTTTCTCAGCAACTAAACACAGTAAACAACGATTAGCCAAAGGAAACCCTTGTTCTTGAGTACAAAACCCAATAAAAAAAATTAATTTTGATAAAAATACAATCATAACCCAGAAATGACAGTAACCAAATTTTAATCCCATTAAAAGAAATAAGCTTAGAAATTATGAATGTGTTTAAACTAACAAAAAAAATCCATGAGATCCATAGCCATCAAATCCACCCCTGGGTTAATATTCACTTATCCCGCTGTTCATTGGAAGAAAAATCCCGAATATGCAAACAAAAAAAATAAATAAACCCTGCATACAAGAACAAATTTGGCACCTCACTAAATTTAAATTCTTTGTTTTTGATGAACATAACAAATTAGTAGTCCATGGCAAAACAAATATTACACCTATTACATTCCTAAGTACGTATCAATGTCGGAATTAAGAAAAGACCACAATGTTGCATTCAATTATTCAAACATGAGGAGCGTTCGACATAATTAGAAGCATAACAATAGAAACTTGACACAACACAACCTACCGGTAACGTCAAATAAAAGTTTAACAACAATACTAATATTATGAAGCATTGAGTGCTTTGTAGTCTTGAAACATACTAAAATTTTAATTGTTAAATAAATACAAATGCTTCAAGAACCATGCCAGATGATAAGAATTTTATTCAAGAACTATCTTGGGACTAAAAAAAAAAGCTGCGATGTCAACACTTTAAATTCTTTGTTTTTGATGAACATGTCAAATCCAGTAGTCCATGGCAAAACTGATATTACACCTATTACTACATTCCTAAGTATGTATTAGTGTCGGAATTAAGAAAAGACCACAATGTTGCACTCAAAATTCACACATGAGGAGCTTTTAGCATAATTTTTATTTTTTTTTCATAAATAAAAAGACTTTATTAAAAAGTATCAAGATGATGTGAAGAATAAAAAAAATTAGCCCCCAAAGGAATAACAAAGCTAAGAAATCAAATCATTCACAAAATCTGCAAAAGCCAAAACATCTGGATCAACCAAACCCACAACCCAAGGGCTATTTTGGGAAGTGGCTTATAACCCATCTTATTGACTTATTGGCTTATTTGGGTTACATCACCAAAAAAATCAGCTTATAAGCCACATATAAACTTGACAAAACACAACCTAGATGTAACATCAAATAAAAGTTTAACAACAATACTAATATTGTGAAATAGCAAGTGTTTTATAGTCTTGAATCATACTAATATTTTAATTTTTAAATAAATAAATAATAAATAAAAATGCTTCAAGAACTATACCAGTTGATAAGAATTTTATTGAAGAACCATCCTAGGACTAAAAAAAACTGCAATATCAACACTTTGAAGGTTGTTGAACCACTTTCAAAATTTTAAAAAAAAAAGTACTTTTGTGACAAAATAAAAAATTCAGCATCTCACCAAAAAAGAAAAAATAAGAAAGAAAGAAAAATAAGCATTTTTGTGAGAAAAAGGCATTACCAAAAAGAAGAATATATCAAAAATAATCTAGCGAATGACCTATGCCTAAAAGCACTCCCCAACCAAAATGAAGTCTAAATTATCAACATTTGATATGTCCTTAACTCACTATTAGCCTCACACTCCATTTTTAATCCTCAAACAGTTCTCAAAGATTCAATTTTCCCAAGAAAATCAAATTAAGGATATTAATGGAACAAAGTTCACTCTAAATGGTTAACAACAAAGTCCAAAACAAAGAATAAAAATAAATAAATAAAAGAAAGAAAAAAAGAAAAGAAAAGCAAGCAGACAAATACAAATCTGAATAAAGGAGCTCTCATATGATCTAAACAATAATGCTTGGAATATAGATGTTTAAAAACAAACCCAAAATAGAAGTGTAAACAAACACCAAATCAAAATCAAATTATAAAGCAAAGGCACCTAAGGATCTCATCACAGCTTGAGTTAAAGATATAAATGTTTTTAGAGATCTATTAGTTGGCATAATGGGAAAACGAAAAAACCAAAGAAGGAAAAGCTCATTATGTAATGAAAGAGGTACAAAAATAGTGAAAGCAAAAATTGGAAAACCTAGGCAACAAAAATTAGACTTTGATGAGGCGGCGGCTAGGAGAAAGGGCAAAGCTGGGGAGGAGTTAAATTAATCTAGACCATCCAAATTGCCACATAGGACAAATACATTTTCAAAATCAGTCTTAGAAATGGACCATGGATGAAGGGGAGAAGCAATCCTAGCCATTGGATCAAATACTACCCTTCCTTGTTATATAGAATTTTCTCTAGAATATTTTGTTTTTTTTCAAATTTATTCCCCCATCGCATTGCCACCACCTTCTTTGTCTTTCCCTCCCTTATCGCACACCCTCTCTGCCTCACCAACAAGTTACCAAATCCATAAAGATATAAATTCAATAAAACCAAAGTAAACCAGCTAATGTGCTAAAAAAATTTAAAAGCGCATCAACTAATAAAAAACTTAAAAACATCAAAATCAACAACCAACATAAATAATGATTGATTAAGCATAATAAGAAAAATAGATGTCAATGAATACCTTCAATTAGTTGGATGATCTCATAAAAGCATAATCAGAATTACTTCAATTATTTCCTGCAGAATATCACAAAAGATCATCTAGAGGGGATTCCATTCTAGAAAACCATGTACATTAGATTTTGAACATGAAAATGCAAAGCAATAAGATGTATTGCTAATGACTAAGAAGTTGACATTTAAATATGTAGGAAGTATTGTGAAGTAGGCTTTGGAATTATTGACCGAAATAACAAATAATGTAATTAGGAAATAAACAACGTACAGGAGTTACTAAAATGATTGTGAATCACTTCGGCCATATGAGTCTTTTTCTTGTTATAATGCTTTTAAAATTACATGAACCTCGAATATACAAACAAATTTCATGAGTATTCAAATGAAAAAAAAAATACATAGGAAAAAAAATAATGAATCACATAAAAAATATTCTTACAAATAGTGATGATATTAGAAAGCCCAAAAATTGTTGGCCTTTAGCAACAAAAAAAAAAAAATCAAATTTCAGAAATAGATTTAGAAAAAAAAATCCAAAAAATCATGAATCACATAAAAAATATTCTTACAAATAGTGATTATATTAGAAACACCAAAAATTGTTAATCTTTAAGCAAGAAGAAATCAAATTAGAAAAAATCCATACCTAATTTTCATACGTTTGACAGTAATGACAGTAACAATATTTCAGTCTCTTTTTCCCTCTTTTAATGAGATTAAGCAAAACCTAGAAATGACAATAACCAAAATTTAACTTTCTTTACTTTTTTCGCCACTTTCTTAGCAACCAAACATGACCGAAATATTTTTGTAGAAACTACATCTAATAAAAAGAATAGTTTATGTGCTGATAACAAAGAAAAAAAAAAGACCCAAATAAAAGAGGGGGAAAAAAGTGAGAGGGAAGGCAAAAATTGATTATTATATCAAAATCCAAAACCCAAATAAAAACGCTAGATTCACACACCCACTTCCACAAAAAAAAAAAAAAAAAAAAAAAAAAAAAAAACAGGGAGCTGTGTAGAGAGAGAGGAGGCAAAGATTGAACAATAACAAACCCAATGGAACAATAACAAAAGGGGGGGGAAGGTGAGGATTTAGCCTTCTACCTTGGAGCTGTGTAGAGAGAGAGGAGGCAAACATTGATGCAGATGGTAAAAATCACCCCCTCTCAACAGGACTATATTCCGTTGGAGCAAAATGGTAGAAATCACCACCGGAGATCACTTAGAGAGAGAAAGTTCGGTGGAAAGAAGATGTGTTATAAGAAGAGGAAGAGGTGTGAGAGAGAATGGAGTTTCAAATTTTGAAATCAAAATTAGAGAGAAAAAGAGAGAAGATGTCTATGAGAGATGTGAGGTGTGAGGAGAAGTCTAAGATGTAAGAAAAAGAAAAAGAGAGAAGATGTCTCTGTTTGATTTGTATCTCAAGATATAATTTTTTTAAAATTATTTTTAAAATTTTGTTTGGTTTAAATTTTTTTAAAAAAAAATTTCAAAATTATTTTCTTTTTTCTACACATCAATCAATCATTTTTTCTCTCTCTTCTCTCCTTCTTAATCACTTTGTCTCTTACACACATCTACTCAACTATAACAAAATATCAAATCATTCCAAACTCTTAAACTCCAAAATTATTTTCAAAATATACAACCAAACAGAACAAAAAAAAATTTAAACTCTCTCCCCAAATTTTCTTTTGAAAATTTATCTCAAAACACAAACCAAACACACTCAAAGTGTTTGTGAGGGTGGGAACCAAAAGTTAATATGGACCATTTAAATTTAGTAAAACTAATCTCAACCATTGAAATATCTAAATTGGAAAAATGAGAGTAAGGCATTTTCAGCCCTTGAATTGAATCAATTTAATGATCCACATTTTGACACATAAACAAATATCTCATCCCCAATTTAAAAACACCCATGTTTTATTATGTAGATATTTTGATAATTCGATATTTTGTTTATTGGATCGATTCATTCGGGGATCAAATCTCCTTGCAGTCCACATGTGCAAACATCAAAACATTGTATCAATCAACGTTTGATAGTAATTTGGATAGTGACACTTCCTCTGTTTAAATAGAAAATATTTTTGAAAAATATTCTTTTATATTTTTTAGTATATGATATAATAAAAATAAAATTAACAAAAAATATTTTTTTTTATGATCAATAAAAAAGCATGTTTATTTAGACCCAAAAAAAAAATTACTTTTAGAAGGTGAAAAATATTTTTCAAATTAAAATTTTACCAATGTCACAATACCACCACCACCACTCTCAAATACACCACCATCCCCATGGCCATTACCACATCATTGTAATGCTCCGAAATAATTACAAGAGCATCCCACGATAGATATTAAATAATAACAGATCCCTGGATACTATGTTCTTACAATATCTCTTTACAAAAGTGTAACGCATGCAATAATACATTCATAGGTCCTAACATTGAATCTATAGCATGTGTCATAGCAAAAGATTTTAAATAGAGTTAAACAAATATAATAATACCGTATTGGCTACAACTTTCCAAGACAGTGTTTTGTGACAACAAAAGTGAGTTTAAATTCAATATAAATAAAACCCTAAACTTGAACAAAATAAATATAACAATAACAAAAAAAAAAAAAATAAAAAAAAAAAAAAAAAAAAAAAAAAATAGAATCTCTTGGCTCCCAATCCTCCCAAGCTATTTCCTTAGCAGAGGCATATCATCAGCGCTTGAAAATGATTTTCCACATAGTGTGAGCCTGTAACGCCCTCAAAAATAAATAGCAAGTTGTAACGCCCTCAAAAATAAACCCATCATAACATACATTTACGATAAAAAGAAGAGATTTCATATTACAATTATCAGAGTATTCTTACAAAATGTATTATATGTTGACAACAAAAGTAAATGCCCTACAGGCTTACAACTTTCCAAGTCAACACTTGGTTACAAAAAGGAGAGTACTAACTCTACATAAAATAAGCCATTGGCTTGATATACATGTAATACAAAAATGTAACCACAAAAGATGTCCCAGCCACTAAGCCTCTCAAGCTACGTCCTTGGAGGTTGCATACTACCTGTACCTGAAAATGGTGTCCCATATAGGGTGAGCCAAAGCCTAGTAGAAATATGCTAAACATAATATGAGCAATGACTAAAACATTAGCACTTGATAAATGTTTAACTCATATAAACCAACATACAGTACAACCAGTTCAATAATCCTTCACTTAACAAAACTCAACTGATAAACATGGCTCAGAACCAGGCCAAACAACCTAAGTGAGACTATATCTCATGCCTACAATATTTCAAACTGCCATTTTACGGAAATTGCGTCCGCGGGATTCGGCACCCATGTGTTTTTATTCTCTTATGGCCATTTTACGGATATTTCATCCGCGGGACTCAGCACCCATGTATGGATGTTTCGGATTTTTCATTTTACGGAAATTGCATCCACTGGATTCGGTACCCATGTATAGATATTTTTGAATTGCCATTTTACAGAAATTACGTCCGCGGGATTCGGCACCCATGTATAATTATTTTCGAATGGCCATTTTACGGAAATTTCATCCACGGGATTCGACACCCATGTATTCAAATACACAACTTGATTAGTTTTAATTCACCTAATCATCATGCAGTGTCTACAACAATCAAGACTATCCTCCACCGATAGCCTAAAGCAGTTATTTCTAAACAGATAATAAATGCCTCAACAGATATACAATTGACATTTTCAAAAGTGAGCGATTAATAAATCCAACTCCACCATTCTATCTCATAATGAGCCAAGTTCATTATTCCCAACTCAATTTCATAATTCCATAACAAATGTCATTAATTACACTAATGACCCAAATATATCCAAATATGGCATTTTCCCCCTTAAGCTTAATATTGACCCAAAGGTCCAAATATTATCAACAACACCAATATTCTCATCTCTAGGCTCAAATACACATGTATAGGCTCAAAATACAAAACCCCTCTTTTATACATTTTTAAATCCTAACACCCAAAATCACCCAACTCAACATTATATCAAAAAGACCAATAGTTTATGTCAAAGACCATGAAATGAGTAGTTATCCCTACCTCAGATTCGGAGCTCAAAGGAAGAAGATGTAGAAATCTCGAAGTGCTCCAAATCAAGAACTTTTCAAATCAAAAGATAGCCCACAACAAGCTCCATGCTCTTTACAAAGGGACTAAGGTGGGAGATCACTCTAACTAGATCAATACCTAGAGAGAAGTTGGGTTTTTAGAGAGAGGAGCTCTCCAATGGAGGTTTTCGAAAAGTAAGAAAGAGAAAGGATGTTGAAAAGTGATTTAAAATGACCCAGTTGCGATCTGATATACGTATGACCCGCTCAAGCGGAGAATAGAACGCTCGAGCGTCAAACACAAAAATTGGACCCGCTCGAGCGCAATAAGACCCCCTTGAGCGTAAAGACACAGCTGCAAAACACACCCGCTCGAGCGTAAAAGGAAACCCGCTCGAGCGTAGATTACACTCGTCCAGTACTTTTACAGACATTAAACACCCGCTCGAGTGCCAAGAGGCCCGCTCGAGCGCGACCCACTTGAGCGTAAGGAAATACGCTTGAGCGTGAAAAACGCAGTTGCAGAAGTTTTGCAGAGGCACAAAATGCTGAGAGTGTGTCAACTCCGCTCGAGCGCAAATGGACCCGCTCAAGCGGACCACCAAAAATCTAGGCAACTAGGAATGGGATTTAAGCATAACCAACCTGTTCGAAACACACCCAATACATCCTAAAACTCAAATATATGGAATTAAAGGATGACAAAAAGATATATACAACCACCAACTCCACGGAACCTAAGTCCGGATTCCGGATACAACAATCAAAGAAGGAAGAACCAGGATCGCTATAACCTCCCCCCTTAAGGAATTTCGTCCCCGAAATTAAGTACAAGTTTTACAAAAACATGATTTCTCAATTCTCAACAGCATTACAACTCAACATTCATCAACTTGACCCAATATCGGCCATCCCATCTCTTTTCCAGAGGCAAATTCCAACATAATCTCCAACATGCATTATCAACATGCATCACAAAACGAATTCAATGCCAATATTATATTTGCATTTCTAAAACAGAGTTAACATATGCAATGTTAAAATAAACTTCCATTACAAGGCAAGTTCCACAATATTTCCATAAACCAAAACATTCACAATGTTTTACAACTTAAGACATATTTAATGCTCTTAAAGTTTATCAATATTACAAAATTCCCAATACATGATTATGTATTAACAAACAAGTCCGGATATTTCTCATGGACATCCACCTCACATTCCCAAGTGGCTTCCTCCACTCCATGATGTTTCCATAAAACCTTTACCAAGAGAATGGTCATGCCTCGCAAGACTTGATCCCGCCTATCCAAGACCCGTACCGGCCTCTCCTCATACGAGGTATCCTCGTCAACCTCTAAGTCGGTCCAATCCAATACATGAGATGGATCCGGCTTGAACTTTCAAAGCATACTAACATGAAATACGTCATGCACTCCGAACAACTGCGACGGCAAAGCTAAACGGTAAGCAACTCCCCAATCCTCTCAAGGATCTTAAAGGGACCGATAAATCGAGGGGACAACTTCCCACTCTTCCCAAACCTCATCAAACCCCGCCTAGGTGATATTTTCAGAAATACATGATCACCCACCTCAAACACCAAAGGCCTCCGGCATAACTCTTTTGGCGACTCTGGGCTGTAACAAGCCTCCTATAGAAAAGCTCAACTTTCTCCGTCGTTTCCCTCACCAACTCCAGGCCTGTAGACACCCCATTTTTGACCGACCTTAAGACTCAGACATCACTGATTGAGTGCTCGGTGACGTTGCATATCGTGCTCATTCAGAAGTCTCAGAGTCGCGGCCGTGAACCCTGCCTCTGGATTTCCGAATCCTCTTCTGTGCCTTGCCTCGATTTGCGAACCAGACTCAGTTTTCTCTGTTTCTTTTCCTGAGGGGAGGGAGAGGTCCCGTAGACCATCTCTCAGTGGCCGTGAGCTACATTTTGTGGCTATAGGCCATTTTGCCCATTTCGGAGCCCGGCTTCCGGTTTTTCGGGACCATTGGCCGTGTGCCTCGGTTCGGGACCGCTTAACCATCTCCGTTTGCTCTGATTTTTAGCATGCATCTTATTTACTCCCTTTTGAGGAACACTGAGGTCTGAGAGACCCACTTCGTGGCCGAATGCCACTTTCGGTGTTTAACAGGCAGTTTTCGGGGCCCTAAACTGCGCGTTCTGGCCCCCGAGCATTCGTTTTGCATCGGTTTTCGTTCATTTTTGGCAGGTACCTCTGTTTTATCACCAGGAAGGCCGTA